TACGAGGAAATGTTTTCCACGGCTTTACGAGGAAAACTTTCCTCGTAAATTAGCTAGGCCTTTACGAGGAAAATAGCCTTTACGATGAACGTCTTTCGACGAAACACGTTTCCTCGCTATTTCCTAGTAAAGGGCCCTTTACTAGGAAATAACGAGGAAAACCCGTCCTAGTAAAGGACGTGTTTTCTTGTAGTGAATGGGGATGCTCCGCGTACAAAGTAAAATATATTGTGATGTTCCGCGTGCAAAGTAGCAAGAGCAGTTGACAACAACGTGCAAGAGCATATCATACCGTCCCGAATCTCAAGGCTAAACGCCTAAACCTCCAGGGAAGTACATGCAAATGATATGAATATAAAAAGCCTATACATACCCATGAATATAAAATCGTTGAAGAACAGTGACCTATTAAGCAATGATATTAAAAGACATAAAGCATAACGAAACGCACAACTTGACGCAATAATTACATTGTACAACAACACCCCTGTTCGTTTCATCACCGCGGAAAGCAGCGGCAGCGTCAAAAAAATTTAAGCTTTGAGGACTACAACACACGGCACAGGTGAAGCTAAACTAACTGATTTTGCAGTCGCAGCGGTAACAAACGGAGGATAAAACGGACGCGGGAAATAACGGCGGCATCAGCTTCTCATTATTTGTGCCTCTGGAAGTCCATCAGAATTGCCGCTGCGTCAAGTTACTCTGATTTCTGTCTTGTTCACTATACATTTTTTTGACGCAACCACTGAGTTCCGCGGTGATGAAACGAACAGGGGTAATGTAATTATTGCGTCAAGTTGTGCGTTTCGTTATGCTTTATGTCTTTTAATATCATTGCTTAATAGGTCACTGTTCTTCAACGATTTTGAAGAAAAAATTACTTCCAACGAGATACACTATGTAACCATGATACAATGTATATTATTGGGATACATCTAACGAAACTCATTCCTCGTCGTAATTCAAAGTACATAAAGCTAGTATGTTTGGAAAATACGCAGGACTTGTAAACCAAGTGTACGTGAGGCATGCATTCAATGCAACGTCATGTGTTTCAGCTTAGTGATGTCCGATTCCACCACCCCCTCCACCTCCACCTCCGCCTCCAAAGCCTCCACCCCCAAATCCTCCACCTCCACCAAAACCCCCTCCTTTCCCAAATCCACCCCCGCCGCCAAATCCTCCACCTTTGCCTATTCCACCACCGATTCCCCCGCCTTTGCCAAATCCACCTCCACCGCCAAAGCCTCCTCCACCTCCAATGCCTCCTCCACCTCCAATGCCTCCGCCTTTGCCTATGCCGCCACCAATTCCACCTCCTTTTCCAATACCACCGCCAATGCCTCCGCCTTTGCCTATCCCTCCCCCTTTCCCAAAGCCACCACCAGCTCCACCGCCGATACCTCCACCTTTGCCAATTCCACCTCCAATGCCTCCTCCTTTACCAATGCCGCCACCAATTCCACCACCTTTTCCAATGCCACCGCCGATACCTCCACCTTTGCCAATTCCACCTCCAATGCCTCCTCCTTTGCCAATGCCGCCACCAATTCCACCACCTTTTCCAATGCCACCGCCTCCGCCTCCGCCTTTGCCAATGCCACCTCCAACTCCTCCACCTTTTCCGAAACCACCACCAACTCCTCCACCTTTCCCAATGCCACCACCAACTCCACCGCCTTTGCCAATACCTCCGCCTTTACCAATACCACCGCCAACTCCTCCGCCTTTGCCGATACCACCACCAACACCTCCTCCTTTACCATAACCACCGCCAACTCCTCCACCTTTTCCGATACCGCCACCAATACCTCCACCTTTTCCAATACCACCGCCAACTCCTCCACCTTTGCCTATTCCACCACCAAGACCACCGCCTTTCCCAATACCACCACCAGCTCCGCCGCCAATTCCACCACCCTTTCCGATCCCTCCACCTTTTCCAAACCCACCACCAGCTCCAGCACCACCACCAACTCCTCCACCGTGTCCACCTCCACCTCCAAAACCACCGCCAACTCCACCACCCTTACCAAAGCCACCACCGGCTCCGACACCTCCGCCATGTCCACCACCAAAACCTCCTCCTCCACCAGCACCACCGCCGCCTCCAAAACCACCGCCTGCTCCAAATCCACCGCCAGCTCCTCCTCCAAATCCACCGCCAAAGCCACCACCCTTGCCGCCTCCAATCAACGTTTTCTCCTCTTCATCTTTGGTAGAACTCACACCATTTCTTGCAGCAACATTCACAGCGAAAACATGAAAACATAATAAAGCCAATAGAGTAGCTCCATTAACAAGACGCCCCATGTCTTCCTGATTTTTAGTATGTTTGTTCAATGCAGTGTTCACTGCTCGATGACCAAAACATTTCCGCACTATGGTCGCTTATATAGCAACACTTAATCATCTACTTTAATCTTTGCATTAACTTACTCCAACTGCTATCTACTACTCACTTCATTCAATTCCTAAATCCTTTTGCGATTTCCTCTCCACATGTTTTCTCGTAACAAACCTATATAATACATATATTATCTCCATTTATACAGCTGAAAATATTAAGAAAACTAGTTTAATATGTTTTACTCAAATCTACCAAGTAGACTTTACTGTTTCACCCAAGTTACCATAGACTCTCTGACATTAACGGTTTCTCAATTACGTGACAGTTAGTTAATTCTACCTCTTTTGTGTCAAATAAACAATTCAAAAGTTACCACGTCGTTTTATTTATGTTTATATAAAAAATCTTTTCATTTTGTGTTTCTAAAAATTCCACATAATTATACTCAAGTGCCCGCACAAAACTGCAAGTTTGATAGCTTAGTTCAAATAATAATGCTTCTTAGCTGATTAATAAGTCTTGCGGATGTAGTGTTGCTAAGACATATTTGGATGTTTGCAAATAATAGAGTGATTAACTTATATAGCCAAATGTTCGGTAATAAATATCATATTTTTCTTAAGTCCCAAATTTGTTATCGCAAATGACAGTAAACATGCCTACTCTTGCTTGTTCCGGCGTATAGGTGGTTTGCAGATCATAACCGTAGTTATACATGTCTTCTATGAACGAATGAAAATCAAATCACATATGAAAATTAAGTCCTGGCTAAATTATTTGTAGTTTAATAACTTTGACATGTGGTTTCAACACCTACCAAACCATGTGCGAGTTAGATGATGAATTTATTGCTGTTTGAACAAAAACGGCCGTCATTTAATTTCCAACCTATAACGTCCTAAACGCAAAGATTTAATAAATACAGACCAGTTATATTTGATCCTCCTTCAATTAGAAATCGCTACATGTCATCTCAGAACATGGTCTCTTATGTCCGACAATCACATCTCTTGTGTCTATTTAGTAACTACGGAAGATTTTAGGTCCTATTGGCTTTCTTCTTTCTTTTTTGCTTATTATCTTTTCTTTTATCATGAAAAGCTTCCTTTCTTATTAGTTTAATAACAAATTAAATACTGAAATGTGTAGTTTAACTTGTCTCAAGATTTTGATTAAGTACCTCTTGTTTGATAAAATTATGATTCGTCTTCTATTCAAAACATTAAACTACTTCAACATTTTGTGTATATAAATAAAATTGGTCAAGCTTATACTTTTGTTGTTTTTCAATAAAAGGTTAATATCTAAATTTAAAACCCCGCATTTTAGTAGGCCAAATGCAATTAAAAGGCGGTGCCATAAAAAAGAACGAAACCAAAGTTAGCGCTAGGACTCGGGAGTAATTAATAGGATGCTGAAAATTAGGAAAAATGCTCAAAGATAAATACTAGTTACTGAAAGGGATTGGTGTCTGTCTGCTCAATAAGTGGGCATCCCGATTTGTTTGTCGACAGCCAACACAACGTGATTTAAACTAGGGTTTAAAAATACTCAATCCATTTCATATTAAGTGTCGTTGTAGAATTTTTTTTTTTATTACAAAATAAGTATCGTTTTCAGTTTTCAATGCAGAATTTATTAACTTTATTATGTAATTTATTTTTCTATTGGTTAAAATGTGGTTAGGTATATAGGTAATTAAGTTTTTATATAGGAAATATGTAAAAGTAATTATACACAACTCTAAAATAACACTTATAATAAAACAGAGAGTATAGTTTTACCAAATAAATAAAGAGACCGTTTCTAAAGAAAAAGTCCTTTATAAAATACAATATGTAAATAGTATAGAATTTTACGAATGATGTTGATAAAGTGAAAGTTTCTAGAGATAAAACTATGTTGTTGGTCTTAAAAATATCTGAAAACTAGAGTTTAAAATACTACTAGAATTTCACTTGTGTGGATATTAGTATTTTACTTTTTTTATAAATTAATATTTATTTTTTATGATTAGTATATATTTTAAATATATCACCATATAATTAATTGTATATTAATTATTTGAATATTTTTGGCTTCCTATTAATAGATGAACAAAATTTAATTTAAAATCTAAAAACCTGATATTTGAAAGAATCAATCCTTATCTGACCGAGTACCTTAACACTTATAAATAATTGATTCTTTAAACAGATAAAAACTTATTTTAACCGTTTTGAATTCTTGTTCCAAATGAAGCAATTTCATTCTAACATGTCATTTTTTATGAACATATAAATAAATTTTATCAAATTATTATATTAAAGATAATTATTGACATAGTTAGGCAAAATGAAAAACAAAACATTTTAAAATAGGTGGTTATCGTTTTGTATTTTTGTAATAAATGTTTTTGGGTGTTTTGGAAAAGATAATACATGAAGTGGTTATAAGTATTCAGAAAAACAATAAATGAACTGGTTAGAATTAGTTTAAAAAGAAAGAAAAGATGTAAGAAAACACTTAAACTCAGAAAATACTCCATTTGTTTCAAAAAGTTGTATGTTTTAGGTTTTTTACACATATTAGAAAAACATATAAAAATTTGGTTACCAATCCAACATTTTTTGTAGCTAACAATTTCCTATAGTTTTTAACCAATATAATTTTAGTAAACACAAATATTTTTTTTTTGAAATTTACAATTTATCGTTAACTAATACATTGAAAATGTAAAAAAAAAAATTTTAAACAAATATTTTAGTTAAAACATGGACCTTTTGAAACAGAGAGAATATTATTTTATACTTCTGTTTTAATAGAATAAATTTTTGTATTAGTTAATAATGAACAACCGACTAGAACCATGAGTTTAATAACTATAAATATAGTAAATTATAAAAACCTATAACTATATAACACTGCAATAATTATCAAAATATATATACTCCCTCTGTATACAAATGATTGATGTTGCAACTATTTTCTTGTATATAAAAATGGGTGTTCTTACATTGATTAATGTGTTTTAAATTAAAGTAAAACATAAATTAAGATCTAAAATATATGTGGTATAATTTTATTGGAAAACAAATAAAACTAAAAAAACTAAGAAATTAAATTATGTATTTAGTTTATATTAATATGTATGTGAATCATTAAATATCAATTTTTAATCCTTAGGGAGTATAAGCTATATATATATATATAAATATTAGATTGAAATACAAATATCCAGATGAGCAATTAGATACATTTCTGAAGATGGGGTTGGAAGTTATATATAAATATATACACTAAATAATCCTTGCGTTCTATTTGAGATAAGAAATGTTATTACACAAAAAATAAACTAGTAGATTTTAACTCATCTACAATTTTGTGTGTGATTGTTACAACTTAGGAATGTGCAAAATATTTTTTTTTCGCCAAAATGAATTTTATTGATATTATACTAGGACATTATACATAACTAGCAATACGAAATTACAGAAACATCAAGTACAAATATAACAAAGGGTGAATTGGGTCATAATCTAAGAAGAATTATGAAATTAAGAAACTACCTTACACAAAAAATTATGGGGGCCTTTTACTATAGCAAGTGGTATGGAAAAGACCGAACTATCCTTCCTGAGTTTAGGCATCTAATTTGTTTGTGTAGGGTAGGTATAGGTTAGAAACTAAAAAGCTTTTAATTATAGTTAGGCAGATTAGTAATGATTAACCTAATATATACCCCCACAATTTTTTTGTTAGGGTGGCTAGAAAAACTACGGCCAATAAAAGTGGCTGCATGAAAAAAGAAATCACAGCACAAGATCTCTGTACGGGGAGAGGAAGCCAGAGAGTTCATCTCGGGGTTTTTACCATCGTCTTTTTACTCTTCATGTTTTCTTCTTCTTCTTCTTCATCTTTTGTAACTGTTCTTTTTCTTCTTCTTTTTTATTCTTTTATTAAATCCAAAAAAACATAATAAGAATTGATCCAACATACATAATCATTAGAGCACACCCGTTTCTGTAATCATACCAATGGCATGAATCTCTTTTCATCCCTTTTCAATGGTGTCTCTTTCTTTTTACTGTAGTTGTGTAACTTGAGCTCTGAATATTTTCCCTCTGTGTGTGTTTATTGTTGCAGGTTCGACATGAATTGGATTCATGCCTCATGTTCCTACTGTGAGCATTATCTTCTTGAATTTGCTTATAAAGCTTATTTAACCTTTGTTGAATTAATACGACCTTTGTGTTCCACTATAATTTTAATTTTTCCAGTTTTGAAAGAGAATGGTCAATGTTTCCGTTTTTGGCTGAGGGGAATAGAAGAAGAACGCCACTGGAGATGCCAGCTTTGGGCAAACAATGTTAACAACACAAAAGGATGGAGCAAAGATAAGTCATCTGAAGAGAGTAGGACGGTTGGTGGGTGTGGAGACTTTCTAAATCCAAAAGTTGTCTTGGACTTTCTATTGTGACATAGACGTATATAGTTAAGTTTAAGCAAGATTAATGTATTTTGGGTGTAATCTCAGTTACATAAAAAATTTGGCCTGGTTAAATTTATTTTTGAGTTGATAAACATTCTTGTAGATGAGAGATTGTTTTTGTAAACCGGTTTTAAGAAATTTTAAACATCGTTTTCGTCCCCTCTTTTGGCTTGTTACATTTTCTTGTAACCAATAACATAATAATATATGATCATGTAGTGAAAATGTCCTATTGTCAAGTTGCATGCTCGTGGTTTGAAGTGGTCTGATTGGAACTTTCAAATAAGAGTTGGCAAGTTGCATGCTCGTGCATCTTCACTATTAGCAGTGCATGTATTGTTTGATCTGATCTGGGTTTTTGTTTATCCTAGCTATTAGTCTTTTGCTTTGATTCCGGGAACTGGTATGTGATTTGCCAGCTTATGTCTCCAGGGATTGCATGCTTTCGTCCGCTGGCTGTATCTCCGGAAGCTGTGTTGCTTGCGGGCTTTGTGTTTCGAAATCTTGTGTAATATTTGTTATCTATAAATTTCCATCGAGTAAAAAAAGATCTTTTTGCCTTACCTATGATGTGTAAACTGTAAAGGTGAATCAAACCAAATATTTTCTTCATCTACATACGAAATATTGTGTGTGGAGGAAAGATAATAAAAGCTTTGCTTTGAGGCTGTTATGTATAAAAGGAAGTAACATGGGACCTCTTTACAAAATCTGTAATAGAAAACTTAAAGAAAGACAGTAGTAAAAGACAGATTTTGCAGTAAGGTCAAGATTTTAAAGGAATGGCAGGAAACAACAAAAAAATAGCTAGTCAAAAACTTCTTTATAAAAGAACTTGACGAGGAGTATGATGAGATTAAGGAGCCTACTGAGGTGAATGGGAAGAGAGTTTAGTCAAACAAATACTATAAATGTTAATTGGTTTACATGCTAACTGACTTATAGGAATGTTTATAAATAAAATTGGCAGCTAACATATTTAATATCCACTTCTATTAGCTTGTATATTACACATAGTTGGCTGGTAATTTTTTTAAAATCTAACATAATTGTTTCTTCATCAACAATATAAACTTAAATCTCAATTATATAAGCTTTTCTAGAGATAGTTTGGTGTGTACGTCTCAGCGAGGTGAGTGGAAAAAGAATGGTGAACAAGAATGGCAATGCTTGATCTTAGAAGATTTCAGACTGAAAGTGATGATCGAGGAAAGTGATAGTCTCCAAACAATGGATAAAATTGTTAGGAAGCGTTATTCTCTCCGAGACACAACACTGGTGGTCCTAACTACCACCTAGTAAGTTGTATGTGTTAATCGACAATTACTTGGCAGGATTATCTCGATGTTCTGATGAATGTCCGGACGTGGTTGAGTGAATTTGCTTATAATAATAACCGGTTAAAAATATTATTAAATATGTTATTATAATAATAGCCGAAAATAAATATCGTAGCATGTTAAGTTTTTCAGTTACGGTTATATGTTTCAGGCAATCCGACTAACATCACGGTTAACTGGATAATAACAACATGATTATCCAGCTAACATGGCCGTTAACTGTATAATAACAACAAGAACTATCAGTTAAAATACAAACTTGTCCACTAAATAATATAACCGGCTACTATTTTAGTTTATTATGATCCATGAAACATTATTATATTTGTTTAACACAAGTTACAATTTAGTATTTTAAACCATGAAAAACATGATATTTGTATATGTATAGAAATGTCAACTAGCCTTATATTAGGATATCTAACAAGAACCCCTCAATTGTGAATCATCTTCTACTCAGATAACCAAACATACATTTTCTGATCAACCAAACGATGAACCACGCTGTCATCATCTCCCTCGTTTTCAAACCTTAAATATGGAAGGAAAAACACTCTTAATGACATTTCTTCTCAAGTCGTTGCCACTTCATTGACCATGTCTCTAGACCTAGTTCTATATCTCCGTCTGTCATAAATCCATCCCAAAAATCACTCAACTCATCTTTTACTCTACATACTGAAATTCCCAACTAAATCAATTAACTCTCAGTCTAATGCTTTGTCAAACTAGTTAATTTTCTTCATTCAGATTCAAAGAAATAGTTACGTAATGTATCACATAATTTTCCTTAGTTATATACCACAATTAGCCAGCTAACATTATTAAGTATCCCATCTAATAAATTATATAACCATCACAAGCCGGCGTTTTAGTGAATACAAATCTGGAATCAAAACAGAGACTACAAGCTCAGGATTTAAGAAATTAGATCTGATCTAACACAAACAAACATTGGAAAATTGAAGATGGATAGGGAGGAGAAGGACGAGAATGATAACGCCATCATAGATTGAATTTGATTGAGGAAATCCAAGCCAATTTTTTTATTAAGCTCCAAACACCTTCATACGACTTATGGAGAAACGAGCAGGAACCTTGACACAACTTTGGAGGATCAGAGAATAACAAGGTTAATCTGTCTCCTTCGACGACATGATGAACAGAGCCGAACCTCCAAATCCTTCAGACGAAGCCGGTATGACATGCATGTAGCAACCAACCGCTGCAACAAATCAAGGATAAGCAACCCAATTTAACCCTTCATCTTTGCTTAGCGATGGAACCAAATAAAACAGAAAGTCGCAGACTAACAACATAGAGGAAAAAGCCAAGGTAGCTGAGCACGATGGAAGAGAATCCAAGGCCTTAAACACCAAAGAAGCCAGAATAGAACAAGATCAACCAACGAAGCCAAACCCCAATACACCATCTCCAAAGAGCCACACGAAAGGGCTTAGATCAAGATCAATATCTGAAAATCGAAAATTCAAAGCAAACCCCATACACCGATTATACATGCAATAGATGAGATAGCTGGAAAAAAAATCTGACCAACGAAAAGATGGAACTAGTGAGAATTTAAACTAGTCCAGAGAGAATAGTTTAGGACAAAGAGAAGAGAGAGGAATACCAGAGGAGTAGATTTGCTAACGAAAAGAAAAAGTTATATTAATATAATATTACAACTTCTCTGACATATGTTTCGTGTGTAGTTAAGTTATCAGAAAAAAACTTAAATAACTAATATTTTCCTCACAAACATCGAAACTAATGAGGAAAGAGCAATAGGGCTATAATGGTCCAGAATGGTTCGGTCTCAACGAAGCAAATCGAAAAAAGGTATTGAGCTAAATATGATATAATCTTAATGTGTGGAGCCTAATTTCTCTATAACAAACCCGATGAATAACACTGCCGTAAGTTTATTAACAAAACTGTGAAGAATTTAACATTTTATAGTGATTGGTCCCACATTCTGAAAGGCACCCGTACAGAAATTCTCAAGTCGTATCCGAGAAATCTCTAGGCTTTAGGTATGTGTGAGAAAGTGAGTTGAAATCACTAGGCTATCAGTTACATCTCAAAAATTATGAAGGGTTTTAATTTTTTTATAGTGACTGGTTCATTCCGAAAAACATTCATACAGAAATCTTCAAGACGTGTCCGAGAAACCTCTAGGCTTTAGGTCCAGGTCAGCTGCGTACACAAGATTTTTGAAAGGCACAGTACCACCGTGCTGTCTTTGATTATCAAACCTGTGATCTCGAGTAGTCATGTGAGAAAGTGAGTTGAAACCACTAGTTTATCAACTACTTTTCAGTTCGCGCTAGGAGAGATTATTTACAAGGTTTGAGTCCGACAAAAAAAAAAGAAACTACTTTTTTTTGCACCCACAAAAAGTTTATTAACAATAAAAAATCGTTAGATAAAAAAGGTAATTTATAAACTTGACCAAAAAGGCCTAATATGCAAATCCAGTTAGTCTTGAAAAGACATTATGGCTCCTTCAAACGCCTAAAAGCCCATCAAATTTAATTTAATATGAGGCCGAATAAAAACTTCATTATATTTTTCTTCATTTTTTTTCAATTTATCGAAAGTTAGGAATGTTGTCTTCTCTCTCTTTCTCTTATCCCTGCCCCTTTTCTCCCTGATTTTACTCCGCCGATCCCCGGCGGTGACTTCTCTTCTTCGATCTCCACCTACCTTTTCTTCTCCGTCGCTGGCCCGGAGGCCGGAGCTATTCACCGATCCAATTTTTATATTCCCTTTGATATTTTCTTCTTTAAAACTTTTTTTCTTATTTTATCCTGAAAGTGCGTTTGACGCTTTTAGCCTCAGGTTAAAAGCATGCATTGACATTTTTACACCTCTCTTTTGTACATTGACCATTATATCCCTGGTCGTACAATCCACGTGGCATAGTTAAACACAACGCTAAAATGAGTCAAAACCACCATGCGCGTACATTTCAAACGCCAGGCGCGTCGAGTAAGCGCAAGTTCACGACAGAGAGTAGTAGTTCCGGTTTTGATCCAAGAGCCACTACTCCGGCTACACCGAACTGGCTCTTGGCCGGCTACTTGGCTCACGAGTTCCTCACGTGCGGGACCATGTTGGGCAGGAAACTATGTGCTGGATGGGCCGAAGTTGGGCCGCTGAACTCACCTTCGCCGCAGCACAGGGAAGTTAAAAAGGCTCGCCAGAGTTATTCTGACGTGGCGAGTGTGTTCAAAACAGAAGGAACACACGTCCCTGGTGTGGTTAACCCGACCCAACTTGCCAAATGGATCCAGATGTGACTAATGATAATGTAGGTAATGCATTATCATCATCAGCATCGCTACTTTAGTTTTTTTTTTGGTTATTAATGATAAGTATCTTTCTATCTTTATAATCTTTGAACATGTCACTATGTCAGTATTAAAAAGTGGTTAGACTTTGTTTTATCGTTTTGTTATTTACTCATTTTGTAATCGATGTAGCAAGCTTAATTACTGTTTTCATTTACATTACATAGACCCATTGACTTGGGTCAAGACTGAAGATCATGAACACTAGTAGAAGAAAGGACCTGATTGTGTCTCATTTGATACGCAAAATAGTTGTAATGATAATACATGTGTAGGCATGTATATACATGTTGCATACGTGTGTGGTACGCAAACCAAAATGTAACGTGGACAAAGAGACATGCTTGTTGTGTAGACTCCAGTTTTTTTTTTTTTTTTTTTTTTTTTTGAAACACAGACTCCAGTTAAACATAACATTCTATTAGTAAATGGCAATTATTAAATTTTCATAATTATAGACATCTAAGATCCATGTAGACAGACGTCCAAATACTAAAAATAGTAAATACATTGTAATTTCATGGCCCCCTTTCGATATTATACTTTTCACTTATCAAGCTATATAGACGATCACTATAGGATGGTCTTACTAAACTTGTAACGTTTTCTCCCAAATGTGCACGTTTGTTCCAAGCTTTGAACTTCACCTGAAGATTTGCAAACATCGGTTTGGATTTACGCCAGATGAAGAACCAACTCAAACACTTCACCAACTATAGAGTAGTGACATTGTTGTTTTAGCAAAAAAAAATAATGACATAGTTGTAGATAAGGATAGGCACAACTTATGTTGTAAATTTGTAGTCTAGAAAGTCGACTTTATCACGTACTTAGGCGTAGGACTTTTATGGTATGTATATTCTCTCCTTGTGATCAATGAATACATACACTTTTACGATCTATATATTTCACCAACACTAATATGAAGGCGTAGACAAACCAATCAAATTTTGTCAGATCACCATCAACATGTTATTATAGCGACCACATCCATAACGCATTCTTCTTTCATGTCACTGGAACTAGCCAGAGTATATAAATTTAGAGGGCAAATAAACTGAGTATTTTTACTTTTCCAGGAAAGCAAGCCTAACAATTTAGCAAATATGGGGACAGTATCATTATCTAACAACCAAACCCATTACTAAACACATAATACGGAAAAATATATTGTTCCAAGCAGGAAGCCATTAGCGCAAATAATTAGTTTAGTTAAAGTTGTTGTCCAAAAAATCCTAGAGACCGATAATAGGCCTTTCACTTTTTTCTAAAGTCTTCAAAGTTTAATTTTTACCAATCACAAAAATTTTAAAAGTTCTCAAAGTCTTCCTAAATATTCTCACAGTCCACCTTTTATTGTTTTCACTTGTTACGTTAGTTTTTTTAAAAGCCAGCATTTTGTGACTGTAGACTATTTTTATAATTATTTTTTACATTATAAAACCTTAAAAATTTTAAAAGTCACTTTTTGTTAAAGTCCCAAGCTTGACCGTCCAAACCAATCGGACCCCTAGTCTGAAACCCCAAAATCCGTAATCCCCTATATATTAATTGAGAAACATTTGAAAAGATGTAACCTCAAGTTTGTATTAATTAAAAAGTAACCTTGCTTAGTTGTCAATCAATTAGCATATCAATTAAACTGACGTGGCGGCTTTAGGTTCAATTGAAATTTGCTAGGGAAAAATAATTAGAGACGCATATAACGCATGTAACATAGTTTATATATTTANATATCCATATTAAAAGTGTGCTATATGACTATGTTTATATCATTTAAATTTAATTATATATCATATACAATATATAAGATTGATTATTTTGATTTATTTACCCTAATTGTGAATAAACAAGAGTAATAGTTAAATTTATATGCATACGCCAATTTGTTACATAATAGTAATTGATTTCTTAGTTATTTAATATATATATTTATTATTTTATTACTTATAATATGCAGAAAATATAAAAGAAATAATAAATATAAAATACTTATTGTGCATAAAGTGCAGATCTTAACCTAAGTATTTATCTGTTTAATTATTTTAAAACTTAAATATTTTCTAAATTTCAGGTCAAAACAAACAAACGAAATGAGAATAAAATTCAAATAAATATTTAAATCGAGTAATAACCAAAATATAAAAAAAAACATAGCAAGAGAAAAATGGAAGATAAATAGGATTGACACGTGAACGTGAACTTCTCATAACTGGAAGATAAATAGGATTGACACGTGAACGTAAACTTCTCATAACCATAATTAATTTTTAAATTGTTAAATCATGATATAAAACTGAGTTAATTTTTAATTTGTTAACNAAAAGATATATGAAATCAGATCCATTAAATTCTAAGATTTGATTTACATTTCTAATTAAAATTGTTTTTGATCATACGTATAGATAATTATATAAAAATTCCAAAATTCTAAAATTTCAAATACATACAAAAACAATCATATGTAAATTTTAAATTTGTGAATATTAAAATTTTATATTTTAATTACATATATTCACCCAGCGCAAGGCGCAGGTCTTATCCTAGTGTATTCATTATAAGTATTGTCATAAAATCTACAATTTACCCAATTTAGTTAAGTAACGATCAGCCATCACACTACAATTTACACCACCAAGGTCTTCATTATAAACTTTAACATTCTAAATTTAAAAACCGTTAACATAAATCACCTTTCACCTATAATACCATCTATTTTGAATGGAAAAGCTAGCTGTTTTAGTTGAATTTTTTTATCAATTAAGACGTAAAATAATTTTAAAAGCTTGTAAAATTAGATAAGAACTTATAAAAAATAACTAAAATTGATAAGAGATTACAAAATCATTTACAAGAGCTTTTAGACTCGTTTAAAACCTCTATAATCACTTACATATTGATTCTAAACTCTCATAACCGATTTATAAGCCTTTAAAATTAATCTATAAATACTTATACGTTATATATCAATCTTATAACTGCTTTATAAAGCTTTATAAATATTTTAATAAACTTTTAAAAATAAATAATAAGGATTTATCTCTAAAAACTCTTTAATTTTTCGAGATCATGACGATGACAATACTTATAACGAAGACCTTTGGTGGTGTAAACTGTAGTGTTATGGCTGATCGTTACTTAACTAAACCATAATGTATTCATTACTAGGACTTGTCCGCGCTACGCGCGGAATATGGTTTACACGTGATCTTTATAACTATATAATTGTATATTTTCATTATATGTATTCTATGTTTGTTTTTGCTAAAGTGGTATATTGACGTTTATGATTTTAAATAATATTAGTGTTTGTCGGGATTATGTATTAATTTTATGTGGTTTTCTTGTTTTATTATTTATATATATATTATTATCTGCACATTTATTTTTCACAGAGAAGGTTTATTGTTGTTAATATCAGTTGTATCATTAATGAGTAATATATATATATATATATATATATATATATATATATATAAATTAGCTAAAATAAAAACGAATTTAACTTATTTGATGAGGAAGTTATAAAAATAAATGGAAATAAGAATTATCCAATATATAAAATATATCTGATTTAAATAGATAGTTCCTATATATATTATGCTGTTATCCAAAAAATATATTTTAGTAAAAATTATAAATTCAAAAATGAAAAACACATAAATAAATATTAATAAAAAAATCATAATTTTACATAATTGAAAAGTAAATATGGAATTATTTTGAAGATTTATTAATGAACAATATATATAAATTAGCCAAAACAAATATGAATTTTAAATTTATTTGATTAGAAGACTTATTAAAATTAATAATTAAAAAATCATAGAATATATAAAATATATTTTATTTTAAATGAAAAAATTACCAATTCAAAAAACGAAATCACATACCTAAAAAATATTTTCTAAAATTTTTTTATAATTGAAAAGAAAATTTAAACGGTTTAAAGATTTATTAACTAATAATTATTACATTACACAAAGATACTTTCAAAAAAAAATATAATACGAAAACATTTTCAAATGAAAAAAAAATAGTTTATATTTATAGTCTTTTAATTAGTAACGCATTTACTTATAAAGTTATAAATCTTTTGAATCCGCATGCACGGAAAAAACACCTAATTTTCATTATAATTAGTAATGTATAATCTACTCTATTAAAATAGATATATTTTAATTTTCATCTGTCTGTATCTTATTTTTATTTATTTTAAAAATCACAACAATATACTATCTAAAAATGATTATATATAAAATATAATAGTAAAACTAATTTTTAGTTCATATGTTATTTAAAGATATGATATCAGAAAAATTATAATCACCCAAAAGATATTAATGAAAAAGCTTTTAACTACAGTCCTCAATATTTTAATATTAAATATATATTTTTTTGTTTAAATGAAAAATATCAAACTCAAGTTTGTTGGTTAATTGTGGGGTGCTCTAATTTGGACTCGTAAGTGTCTGTACATGTATTCAGGACTCTGACTCAACCCCCATTTGCATATCTTATTTGTTGAGAACATAAACAGGTTTGCTTATTGATGCATTATGCATTGTTTGAAGATGTAAAGTTATGGTACGCATTCAAATGAAGTAGACAATTTTAATCTTTTCATTTGCTTACAGGACACATTCAAATGTAAAAGACAATTGTAATCCTCTCATTTGCTTTCTCACTATAATAATAGTCGCATATTTTAAAAAATTAGATGATGATATAGGGTTTGATCCCAGAGCTCTGAAACATGATGGAACTCATTCGTATGTATTATTATATGTCTATTTCGATTTCAAGCAAAATATTATTGGAAAATAAGATATAGTACCATTCCAGAAGCATGACGCATTCCGCATTCCCGGGCAGTGAGAAAGTCTTCATCTAGGGTCACCTCATATGAATCATCATCGTCTTTCTTTACGTTTTGTTGAGGAGTGTTT